GGCAGTGTTACTTCCTTATATCGCCTTGTGTAACTCATTATTTCGGCATTATTCAATAGTTATTTGCTCGAGTTTTTTTTTTCTTTTTTTTCTTTCAATTTTTTTTCAATTATAAGTTTCTTATCAACTCTTATTAATTCAGTGAGACTTTATCTCATTTCACTCTTGAGTTTTGTGCTCACCTCTACTCCAGTATAAAAAATTCCACTCTGCCATTTGTTTACCAAATACTTTGAAAATCAGCTTCTTAGATTCAAGCACACTTCCACAGCGGTTTTCAAGAAGGCTAACTAAATCTCCTTACACGCATAAGTTTTGTGCTCACCTCTGCTCCAGTATAAAGAATTCCACTCTGCCTTTTGTTTGCCAAACACTTTGAAAATCAGCTTCTTAGATTCAGGCACACTTCCACAGCGGTTTTCAGGCAGGCTGCCATTCCACTACCTTATCTTACTGTGAGACAAAGTTGTAATAGAAACGAGGAAGCAAATTAATACAGATTTCCCTTCAGTCACATATATTCAACCCGCACAGCAAGCGAGCCCTTCAGTGCAGTCTTGGATTGCCGCTCTTGTGGGGACATGCATTGAGTGTCTATGCTATTTCTTCGATATATATTCGGCGTTTCTCCTCTACCCCCGGTGGGACTCCAGCTCAGCTTAATCCCGCGGCGTGCACGCCACGCTACGCACCCCACGTATCCCTCGCGTCGTCACGTCGACATCCCCCCAGCATCAGTATAATTCAAAATAAATTAATTTATGTGTCTTGATTTATAGAGTACATCATATGTCTAGGATTTAAGCTTATTTTGAAAGTTACAGGTCACAAAATACAAGGACTAAAATTAAATTTCAATGTGCAACAATTTTAGATGTTGGTATGTTTAGTAGCCATCACAGAAAAAAAATTACCACACAAAAGTATATATTTATATAAAGTAGACATCACAGGCTATTTACCTAAGGTCAGTTTGACACTTTTTACGTGGCCATTTCATCGCCAATCTCTGCTAAATATTGGAGTAAAATTGTGTTTTTTCTCTATTTTGGCATATACACATATAATAAGGTTTTTGTAATGTGTATTTTGTAAAGCTGGTGCTTGCTATTTCTGTTCAGCTACATCTGCTGAGTATAACAATACCCCCATTGTATGCCTTTGGCACTATTCTGTTAAGCTACAATGCCATATAAGAGACAAAGCTATTTCAGTTTCTATAGTTAGAATTTTCGTAGATGGATTTGACGGGCCTGTGTGTCATTTTAGTGTATTATAGCAATGTGAGTGTTCAAATAACCCCACAAAGGGCTTTCATTTGATAAAGCAGACACCCCAGGGTATCTTATATGGTGTATATTGTGCCTTAACTTGCCACCATTTTTTCACCAATTTATGTCAATGTTTGTGGTGAGGGGGGGAGGGGGGCGGTGAATTGCATTTTTACATAGTATTTCTTACATTTGAAATGTACCACTGTCATAAAAAAAACTAATTATGCTAAGTTACTTCTTCTGAGTATAACAATGTATGACCTAGACACTATTTTGTGAAGTTACAGTGCTGTAAAAGAGACGTGACAAGTTCAGGTTTTTAAGTGTGAATTCTCATGGAGGGTTTTGATCGTGTCCCACTTTGGAGCACTTGAGCAGGCTACATATTCCAGCTGAACCATAAAGGCATACCGTTTCTTAAAGAAGACATCCCAGGGTATTTCAAAAGGCATATTTTTAACCTTAGTGTGGGATCATTTTTCCGCTAGCTTGTACCAAGTGTAGTGGTAATAAGAATTTTTCTGCCTTTTTGACACACAAAGTGAGTTTCCACAGTATATTTTGCAAACCTTATGTGTGCTACGACTGTATAATACTACATTTGTTGCTCAGCTATGTCGTCTGAGTACAGCAATACCCCCGTATGTACCTTTACCAGGTATATGTTGATGATGAAGGGGCACATTTGAGACGCATCCATTCAGTTTTTTTCTAACTTTGAAGTTCTATGCTGTGTGCATGTTTTGGAGTAGTTTAGCTGGTTGGTTATTCAAACTTCCCCACAAACACATACTATTTATTAAAGAATACACCTTGGGGTAATTCAAAAGGCATATTTTGAACCTTAGCGTGGGATAATTTTTTCTTTAGTTTGTTCCAAGTGTAGTGGTAATGAGCATTTTTAAAATTTATTTTTTTACTTTTTTAAACTTTTTAAAACTCGTTTTTAAACTTTTTTTGCTTATTAAATTTTTTTTAACTTTCTTAAACTTTCCTAAAACTTTTTTACACATTTAAAATTTTTATAAACCTTTTTTTTACCGTTAACCCCTAGCAGTAAGCAGCACTAACAGTAAATTCCCCAATTTCCCATAACTCCCACCCATCCCAGCTAGCAAAATATATCATTTTAAAATATTTAAATTAATTAAATAAATTGAACCCCTGAGGGTTAAAAATAAATAAAAGTTAAAAAAATCGGATAATTTGACCACTGTAAAAAAATCGGATATTTTGACCACTGTAAGTAGTGATCAACTGGCAGGGAAGGGGTTAATTTTTATTAGGACTGGGTAAAGGGGGGGGGTAGGATTTTTTTTTAACTTTATTTAAACACTATTAAAACTTTTTAAAAACTTTTTTTATGTTAACCCCTAGCTAACCTAACACCAAATTCCCCACTAACTTCCACCCACCCCAGCTAGCTAAATATATAATTTCACCTCAGGGGTGGAAAAAAAAAAAAATCAGATCACAGTAAAATTTAGTCCCTGCCAATTAATCACTGTAGTCAGTGATCAATTTGCAGGGAAGGGGTAAATTTTTATTTAAAATGGGTAAAGGGGATTTTAAACTAACTTTTTTTTTTGTACACAGGGAGAAGATCACTGCTGATCCGTCTTCCTGCACTTTGCAAAGAACGCTGAAGAGCAGGGAGGCGGCTCAGAAGTCCCTGCAGCACATGTGCTTGCTCTGACAGCCTGTCAGAGCGATCACAGCTGCAGGGACAGCGCGATCATGTGCCTTGAATACCGAGGCAGACCAGAGGAGCGTTAACCCTGCGATCGTAGCGATCTGGGGTTAACTTTAGCGCATGACAGACCCGGTCCATCATCCGGCGTTAATTGCTTCCCCAGCATGACAGGCTGGATCCGTCATTAAGGGGTTAAAGCCAATTATAGGTAAAAGGCATAGAACACCATAATGGCGTTAAACGGGGTTAAACGTCTGAACAGACTCTGAAAAACACTTCTTCAGTCAGAGAATTCCACCTCCTTATTGTTCTTACGGTAAAAAACCCTTTCTTTTGCCTTAGACTAAATCTCCTTTCTTCCAGTCTAAAAGCATTACCTCGTATCCTATGTATAGTTCTGTTTGTTAACAAATTTCCAGGCAATGGTTTGTATTGGCCCTAAATATATTTGTATCATGTTATCATACCCCCCCAAGGTGCTGTTTTTCTAAACTAAAGAGGTCTAAAATTGTTAACCTTTCTTCAAAGCTAAAATGTTCCATTCCTTTTATTAATTTTGTATCCCGCTGCTGCACTTTTTCTAGTGCCATAATATCCTTCTTTAGAACAGGTGCCCAAAATTGCATAGCATATTCAAGATGTGGCCTTACTGTGATTTATAGAGGCGAAATTATATTCTCATCCTGAGAATTTTTTATACATGACAATGCCTTACTGGTCTTAGCCACTGCTGATTGGCATTGCACATTGCTGCCTAGTTTGGTATCTATTACAATTCCCAAATCCTTCTCATGTGTGGTTATCCCTAATTCACTACCATTTAGGGTGTAAGTTGTTAGTGCATTCTTTATCTCAAAGTGCATAACTTTGCATCTTCCTACATTAAATTACATATGCCATGAGTGCCTAGTCCCCCAGTCTATCTAAATCCTTCTGCAGCAATATTTTGCTCACATTGTATTACTTTACAGAGTTTTGTGTCATCTGCAAATGCTGAAACGTGACTTTTAAAGCTTATTTCAAGATCATTTAGAAATTTTAAATAGAAGCAGTTCCATAACACCCTGATGGTCACCACTTACCAATTTTGTCCAGCATTAATGTTTGTTGATTCACAAAGTGCTTATCTGAGGCTTCTGATTTAGGATGTTCTTCTGGAATTTCCAAGATCTTTCTCTGAATGTGCTAATCTACAGTCTTTACAGCTAAAGACCCTGGGATTACATCAAATTCTTCACTAGAGTCTATCTCAATGATTTCACTATTTCCACATATCTTAATCTGAAGATGAAAATTTTCTCTATACAGATGGTCCTCATTTTGCGACATACCTGTTTTATTCTTGTGAACTAGAGAGATTGTTTGTCGTCTATGTTTGGGGACATTTCCCTGAACACAACAGAGCAGGGAACTAATCTATATTTGGGAAATTTCCAAGGGCATAGAGTAGAGTGAGTCCCTGCTCTTGTGCGTTCGTCTATGTTCGGGGAAGTTTCCCCCAACATAGACAAGCGCAACGGAGCAGGGAATCCCTTAATTCCTCACTTACTGACGGAACCCGAGCTGTGAGTACTTGTATGTGAAGACTTTTCTTAGATTTATTCCTGATATTCATTGCTTCTGAAATGCCTTGGGCTACTTCTCTCCTGCTGACATGTTATCTGATATTTTCTAAGATATAGATGCTGCCATTTTAAGGCAGCATGCACATAAATATTTTCCTTCTACAGCTTTCCCATCATATCCTGGGCATGTAGTTGACTTTTTTTTAGAAGTATTAGTTTTTTTCCCATACTAAAAGAATAATGAGCATACAGTATAATATGTAATCTGCATAACAGACAGTTCTTGAATTTCATGTGTTGGAAGCAGGAAAAATGGGTAAGATCTGAATCACTGTAATAAGGGCCAAACAGTGATGGCTAGAGAACTAAGTCAGAGGACCCCCAAAATTGACGGTGAGAGAGTGTTCTATTTGTACCTTATCTAGTAGAAAACAAACTTTGATTAACAAAAAAAAAAAATTACACAAATTTCCGTAAACCATAAAGTTAACATTTTATTTTTTCAAGTTTTCTGTATCACAAGCCCAATGTACAGTTTACATGATGAAGTTAGGAAAAAGAAAAATACACAAACAAAAAATACAATTGAGGATTAAACAATGTGAATATGGTTATTTTGGTAAAAATGTACAATTTAAGCTGCTTTTACGATTTATTAACTGGTACTTTCTAACATATGACAATTACATACAGTTGTAATGTTATGGTGCCAATAGACAGCAAGTGCGGTCCCTTAATTCTGGGTCAAACAGTTTCCAACCACTTTCAACCAAATGCATGCATGCATAAGCCAGCTCTCCCTTCCTTGCTTACACAAACGTTCCACATCAGCTTTAGCAATAACTTCTTTCATATTTGGGCCAAACTTGTCTAAAATATATTAAGGGGACATTACAGTCCTCAAAACAACTTTAGCTTAAAAGGGAACCTGTAGTGCATTATACAATGCTTTCCTATAGTGTTTTGGATGATGCTGGACGTCCCCATGCATAGCGTGGGGACTTCCAACATCAAGCAAAACATCTGGAAATCTAGTGGATGTCTGGGAGACAACCACTAGAGGTGGAGTTAACCCTGTCAATTTAATGAAGCAGTTGTGTATAGATTATGAAGTTTAGGAGTTGAATCACTTATTTCTGCTTATACATCCCTAGCCACATGTTCCTGACCGGGTCAATCTGGCATGGAAATAGAATATAGGTGGGTTTGTGGGCAGGGGAGTAAAGAGAAATCCACAACCAACCCATCGGTTTAATACTATAGAATGGCCTAGCAGTGAGCACTTCTCCTTCCTGTGTAGTCTTAAACCTCGAGTGACTGGAAGCAGGTCCCGCTTCTACAGACCTCTTTCACACATGGTCCAAGAGTGCACACAAAAGAGAAATGCTGACTACTCGTCCACATTTCAAAAGATACATAATAGGAGATGAGCTGGAGGTAAATAAATAAATAAATATAAAAAGAGATATAGAAGAGAAAATAAATAAATATAAAAAGAGATATAGAAGAGAAAATTGTGAAGCTGCTTGCACTCTGTCTTCATTAATTTGCCCTGCTTGGTGACACCTTCCCCATACAGGAAAAACCGCTATAATGCCAATACGTTGGCTTAATTACCAGCATCGTTTTAACAAAAACACTGTCTTAATAATTCAATGTTAGGAACTTTTTCTGTTATAGCTAAATGATGAGTACTTTAGATAACAATCAGTATTATTTATCCACAGTTTTGACTTGGCATGATTCTGAAGAACATCCTTTCACAGGAATACCTGATTCCAAAGAGATAGACCTGGTTAAAGGACCACTCTAGGCACCCAGACCACTTCAGCTTAATGAAGCGTCTGGTTGCCTGGTCCAGCTAGTGTTAACCCATTTTTTTTTTTTTTATAAACATAGCAGTTGCAGAGAAACTGCTATGTTTATGAATGGGTTAAGCCTTCCCCCAAAGCCTCAAGCGGCTGTCTCATTGACAGCCGCTAGAGGCGCTTGCGTGCTTCTCACTGTGATTTTCACAGTGAGAGAACGCAAGCGTCCGTAGGAAAGCATTGCTAATGCTTTCCTATGCGACCGGCTGAATGCGCGCGCAGCTCCGCCCAGCGCTGGAAAAAGGAAAGTTTAACCCCTTTCCCAAGCCGGGTGGGAGGGGGTCTCTGAGGGTGGGGGGCACCCTCAGGGCACTATAGTGGTCCTTTAAAGACATGATTATACTACAGTAATTAGTAAAATGAGAAATTACTAAATTTAGGCCTAAAAAGGTGTATGTGTGTGTGTGTATATATATAAAAAAGTCTCCCTATGTTGCCAACTGGCTACAAGGGCCTTAACGTGTTAGACTTGTATCATGAGGTGTGGTAGCAGATATATTTACATTAAAGAGACAGTCTAGGCTGCTTATGGCACCATAACAACTTCACCTAAATGAAGTTGTTTTGGTGTGTGGAGTGTCACTTTAATGCACTCTCATGCACAGGCAGGAGTACAAACCAGGCCTGGGCTCTTACACCCATGGGTCACATCCATAGAGCACCCCATATGGGCACACTGTAAACAGGTCCCACAGAGGCCGCCTGTATACCCGGTATTAGAGATAGCTGACACAGTGTTAAGCTGGCGGTTACAGGACTCATATAACAGAAGGTCTAATAAAGTGAAGGCTATTCTTCACGCAGTTCAGCAGTGCCAGCTCTGTGTAGTCTCCCAATCGGACTCCCAGTCCCCGGCCGATACACACCATGCTGCGGCCAGGCAGTAGTCAGGCAGGCTGGGGATTCCCTCATGGTGTCCCAGTCTCGCAGCACGTTCTGCCAGGAGTCAAGATGTCCGCCGCGGGCTGCTCGCTCCCCTGTGGCCGCAGTGACCCCTCACACCTACCGTCTCCCCGGCCATGTGCTCGCGGTGAGCGCGCTCTGACCCTCACACAGCGCTGCCCGGGGCACCCCAGGCATTCTCACTGTGCTCGGGTAAAAAACGAGGCCTCTGCTGACGTCACTATACCCCCCTCCCCGATTCGCTCCCTCCGCCGCGGACGCGTCTTCTTCCTTTTCCTCCCTCCAATCCCCTGCTGCTGCTTCCGCCGCCACTACGGGAAATAGAGGAAGAGGCGACATTAACCCGAAAGAAAAAATAATCCGAGCCCAATGCCGCGGGGCCGCGTTCTTAAATCCCAGGTTGGGGATGCGCCACAAACAGGTGAAAACAGATCTCTGGGTGCTGTGTGAACGGTGATGTGGGCGAGGCGGGTGCTGGGAGGGCTGTACGGCAGCGCAGGTTTGTATGTGAAAGCTCATATAGTCCCCGGATGTGGTGGAGAGGCCGAGCTGTGAGCGCGCCTCGCCCGGAGACAGGGCGGAATGATACGGGTGGGGGACGTAGCACCCGGACTCGAGGCTGTGGCAAAGGCAGACAAGGAGTTTGCAGAGTGTGTGGGACGGAGAGGAAGCGCGAGGCGCTCTCACAGCTCCGTCCGTGACACACACCGTGTACACTGCCCGCCCGTTACACATACACACTGTATACACTGCCCGTCTGTTACACATACACACTGTATACACTGCCCGTCTGTTACACATACACACTGTATACACTGCCCGTCTGTTACACGCACCGTATACACTGCCCGCCCGTCACACACACTTTATACACTGCCCGTCCGTTACACACACCGTGTACACTGCCCGCCCGTTACACATACACACTGTATACACTGCCCGTCCGTTACACACACTGTATACACTGCCCGCCCGTTACACACACTGTGTACACTGCCTGCCCGTTACACACACTGTATACACTGCCTGCCCGTTACACACACTGTGTACACTGCCCGCCCGTTACGCACACTGTGTACACTGCCCGCCCGTTACACACTGTGTACACTGCCCGCCCGTTACACACTGTGTACACTGCCCGCCCGTTACACACTGTGTACACTGCCTCACTCATACGCTATACACTGTATACATCTCGCCCAAGCACACACTGTATACACTGCCTGCTACGTACACGTATACACTGCCTGCTACACACACTGTATACACTGCTCAATCTCATTGCTATACACACTGCCCGCTCAAGCACACACTGTACATAATGCCCGCCTTCAAGCATAATTACTACACTGTATACACTGCTCCCGCGCCACACTGCCCTCTGCTAGTTACACACACACTGCCCGCCATATAATACACCTCGTATACACTGCCCGTCTGCTACACACACTGCATACACTGCCTGGGTCTGCTACACACACTGTATACACTGCCTCAATCATATACACTAAAAGGCTACACTGCCTCATACACACTGCCCGTCTGCTACACACTGTCTGGCCCCATACACACTGCCCGGCCCTGCTACACACACTGCCCGGCCTAAGCACACACTGCCCGGGCCTCATACACACACTACATACACTGCCCGGCTCATACACACACTGCATACACTGCCCGCCCGTTACACACTGCATACACTGCCCGCCCGTTACACACTGCATACACTGCCCGCCCGTTACACACTGCATACACTGCCCGCAGTTACACACACTGTATACACTGCCCGCCCGTTACACACACTGCCCGCCCGTTACACACACTGCATACACTGCCCGTCTGTTACACACACTGCATACACTGCCCGCCCGTTACACACACTGCCCGCCCGTTACACACACTGCATACACTGCCCGCCCGTTACACATACTGTATACATATTATACTATATCGTATGGATCCCTCATTAAATGCGCTCCTTACACCATCATACATTTTATACTATATCTTATGGATCCCTTGTTAAATGTGCTCCTTACACTATTTTACCTTTTAAACCATATCTACATACAACACACAATTATATTGTGGTTAATGATCCATCCATAGCGAATGCAACTTGATATTTACAAACAAGTATAGAAATTAACATCACTGGCTGCAATTGAATATACGTAATACTTCTGTAAAGAATAAAATAAGATACACATTTTGTAAAATTAAAGCAGCACTGTAAGGGCCACATCCGTTTTTGTTTTTTTTAACCCCTCTTCCGTCTGCAATACATATTATTGTGCCCCTAGTTACCCCCAAATGCCCCCTATTTTACCTTTTTTTTTTTTTTTTTTTTATAGGTGCCGCCATCTTTGTATGGGCAGATAGAGCCCCTGTGGGATACGTTATCAGCCCACACTAGAAAGCGTTATGAAATTCCCACGCATGCCCAGTTAAACACTTGGGCATTCGCTATTGTCCGAAATTTGGATGGGAATTTTTGTCTATTCATTCGTCAGAAATACAAATGAATTAATAGGAATTTCAAATGAATGAACAAAGACCTCTTTGTTCGTTAATTTAGTTTATTACAAGGAGGGAGCTACCGGCTCGCGGCTCCCTCCTTGTAATATGTGAAATTAGAAGCGGCGGGGAGTGCTCCCTGCCACTTCCTCACTCCCTCCATGCCCCCCTTTCATTCTATGAGGGTCCATATGACTCCCATATTAAAATCTCCCGAAGGCCCCTTCTCGCAGTCCTGTGAGTAGGGGCATGTCTACTTAACAGCGTTTACCGTGTATCACTGTTCTAAAAAAAAAAAAAGCCCCCCCCCCATCTCATGAATCAATTATTAGGGGACCTAGTACAGGCCTCCCATGGTGGGACATCTAGAAAAATAATTAATAGGGGAGGACATAGGTCTGCCCCTCCTTTTGTTACTTAGGGCCCCCACCTGCTGCTCATGGGTGGGGGCCAGAGGGGGGGAGACAATAGGTTTCCCCTCCTTTTGTAAATTTTGGCCCCCACCCGCCACTCATGGGTGGGGGATGGCAGGAAGACAATAGGTCACCCCCCAGTTTTGTTACTTTTGGCCCCCACACGCCGTTCATGAGTGGGGGCTGGAAGTGGGGGAAGACAATGTCACCCCCCTTTTGTTACATAGGGCCCCCAACTGCCGCTCACGGGTGGAGGCCAGAGGGGGACATTAAGTCCCTCATTTAGTTTAATAGCCTCCACTTGCGTGTTATGGGTGGGGCCTCGGGTGCTGGGGGGACACTATGTCCTCCCCTCGTTAATTATTTTAATAGGAGTGGGGGTCTTTTTTCTTTTTCTTTACAACAGTGATCAGCCACTGGCTGCTCACTGTTTAGTAGACATGCCCCTACTCATGGTAACTCATGATTAAAAACTCCCTTATTCACTAATATGAAGCCATTTTTACTTAGTATTAGTAAAGTTGACTGAAAGACGAAAACTACTGACCCGATAGTCAAGGGTTGGACTATATGATTAAAAGACAGGGCATGTAACGGACCGTTTTGCACACAGGGGGTAAAAACCGTTTAGGCGATCGTCCCCCTTTCCAGAGATGCCGGCACAGCTATTGTAGAACACCAAACTCACGAACCGCCAATAAGGGAATGCTCCAAACTACCGAACAGCATCCAATATAACACTCCAAACACACAAACTGGAACCATACGAATCACTGCTAGCAGACGAATAGGAAAAGCACCCAAGCGGCTTACACTCCTAGCAATCAGTCTCTATCAGCATTCAGTAAATCCCCCCAAAGACGAGACAAGGCTCCGTGTTGAGGGTCAAGCAGTGGTCTGTTTTAATGAGGGCTACCTGCCCAGTATTTATGCAGGTCTCCCACCTGGTGGACACTCCCCTAGGGGACCAAATGGGAGACTGTGACAAAAGACAGACAAGTTGACAAATAGGACACACAGTCACATTATATTCCCACAATGCATCCTGGCTTCCTCCCCTCTGCCTTGGAGATAATTGAGAAGTAATTCAATTATCTCCCAAGACAAAGGCAAATCGCCATTATGCACGTGGGGATACTAAAACACAAATTACTGTTAAAATACACTATGTAAGACACATTACAATAAACTTATACATTTAACATGTCCCCAGATAGCTCAGGTCTGAGCGCTCAGACCACACGAATACAGTTTAATCGCCATGGAGCTAAAGTCTTTACACAGTCAGTTTCATGCGAATGGGCTCCATGGGATTCCTATCTGGGGTATAACACATTCCAGTAAAACTTCCGAATGCCGGGCCGTTCGTGCACTTTCACTGACCAAGAAGAGAGGTCGGCGGCTTCAGCGGTGTTCGCGCAAAACTGTGTCCGATTTCAGTTCCATGAATTAAGCGTCGAACACCGCTGTCCATTCGCATGTTTAACCGCAGCTTCAGGGAGGCTAATTGCTGGCACATTCCAGCTCCCAGGTGGTCCAGTAATTTGTGCGGTTGTTCGGTAGATTGAATCTACCGAGCACCAGGCAGAAAAGCATGAATAAAGCTTTTCTGCAGGCGAAACAAAGTCTTTTAACATGGGGGCCATTGTCCAAAGGCAGCAGGCGAGGAGCCAGGCTTCTCCAAAGCAATGTGGCGAGATTGGTCTCGTCACAGGGCATAACCCAGTAATTTAGCATAATAGAGAGAAAAAAATTCATGTGTGTCTGTGCAATGAAAAAAGGGCCCAAAGTTTCCTTCAGGTGCCTGATTACAACACACAGCTACAGGTTATTCCCATGCAAATGATAAACAACTCAAAAGTAGGTAATTTACATATGTTAAAAAGAAAAAACCTTTATTACGTCATCAGACATTTAAAACTAATGTGAAAATCAACAAGAATAAGTGATCAAACAAAATCAGTGCAATGTGTGCTAGTGAATAAAAAAAAAAAAGGGGGTCCAACGGAGCCTACTGTAATAGATCCATCATCTGACTGCTTCGATTAAAGTTTATGTTTGAAAGATGCTGTTCAAATATATGAGTGTGCACATGCGGTAAAGGATCTTTGCATGTACCTATTAAAGCTAAAACAGCCTCATTCAAGATACATTTGAAGTCAGGAGGATCTATAAAAGTCTATACTAGAGAAATATAAAATATACTTTACCGCATGTGCACACTCATATATTTGAACAGCATCTTTCAAACATAAACTTTAATCGAAGCAGTCAGATGATGGATCTATTACTGATGGTTATTTTCCATGTTTATTTCAATGGTTTCAACTCCTGAAATGAGACGGTTCACTTTGTGTGTGTGTGTGTGTTTTTGTTTTTTGTTACACAACTGAAGATGTTTATGCGGCATAGTACGCCCTAACGATCGTTAGCTCCCCTGTCCATGCAGACTTACCTGGACCCGCGACCCGCAGCGATCCCGTAGCGAGGTGACTGCTTCTCGAGACAGGCAGTCCCCCTGCTTCCATTTCGGCCTTCCAGGGCCATGTGATCGCGATGGACGTCGCAATCACATGGCTGCAAAGCAGT